CATAAAACCACGAGAGCATTGTTTGCAGTCCAATCTTCAAAATCAGGAGACGTCTCCTCCAGCTGTGGTATGGTAACATCCGCAAAACCAAACTTTTTCCGCCTTCAGTTCTTAACGAGGACTTGTGGCCTATTGATCGTAGTTTGGACCACGCAACAAGGGTTTGGAGATCAGAGTACCAGAATTATCTTCAGAAGTTAAATCATATGGAGATATGGTACGATGAGTTTCAATTGTGGAAACTCTTGGAACAATCGCCGAGTTGTTATCACCCATCGTGAAGAAACAAATTGTTTCAAGAATAAAAACAAAAAATATTTAGGTCAAAGACAAAAAAAAAAAACACAACTAAAAACGAGATCTCGCAGCAGAAACTTGAAATCTTTTAAATCAAGAAACAATAAAACTTTGTACTAGTTTAGGTTTTAAAACTCTGATACCATAACAAAAATCTTTAGAAGTTATAAAAAGTTCCTTATCTTTCATAAGGGACTATGTCTTATATACACAATACAATTGACCTAATACTTAACAAGTTACCGATATGGGATAAATACAATAAGGACAAACTGAATATGGCCCAATAAATATAGCTCAATAATAATAATAATAATAATAATTTGATCTTAAGTATTTTTACAATTATATAATATGTTTATTTTTCTACTTATTGCATCTGCTTCTCAACCAGTTAAAATATCCCTCAAACTAGGTAATTAGTCCGCACCTTGCGCAGGCAGAAGTGTTTTATGAATTAAAACATAAACACTTAAGGCAGATATGTTTGTTAAAATAATAACACCATTACATTATTAATTTTGCTACATGAAAAAATATTATAACAATGTTAGAAATTTGACCAAGCCAAAAAAATGAAGGAATACAACATTGTTCATTATGGTTGTATTCTTTTAATTTTTTTTTCCCTCGCTAGAAACTTTTCTCCATTTTTTTATAATTATATAGATTTCCTTTTTCTTTAACGTATTTGATTTTTTTTTCTTCTTCTTTCTTTGTTATCACTTCTTCTTCTTTATCATTATTATGTTCTTCAACTATTCTTCTTTTTCTTTATTTTTCGGTTCGTCTTTTGTCTTTATCTTCCAGTTTTTCTTTTTCATCGTCTCTTCAACCTCAACTTCTTCTACTTCGCCTTCTTCTTTTTATTATTTATTTTTTGTTTATCACCTCCATCCTATATTTTTTTTTCATTGTGTCTCATCCACCTTCTTATTCTACTTATGTTTTTAATTTTCTTTTTCTATTTATCTTTTCCATCGTCATAGTCTTCATCTACTTCCTCCTTTTTATCTTTAAGTTTTTTTTTCATTCTTTTTTCCTTATTATTTTCATCAACTTCTTGTTCCCTCTGATTCTCATCTTCATATTCTCTGACTTTTTATTATTCCTTTTGACCTTTTCTTCTTAAGTTTATTTATCTCATCTTCGCCTTCTTCCTCACCATATTCAATTTTATATCAAAATCTTCTATTATGCTTTCCATCACTCTCTCTATCCCCCCTTCTCTCTTGCTATATATCTCTCTTTCTTTCTAATTTAGATCGCTTTTGGATATTGCCCGAGAATCTTCAGCATTTCTTATTTTTTCACTTTCATGAAAGATATATTTCACAATAGATAGGTTGAGTATTGTTTTTTTTCAACTTCTTCTTCTCTTTTTGGTTCACTTAGTTTATCTTCAGCATCATTTCTACTACAGTTTCTCTGTACCTTATGTACCTTTCCTCAAGCATTTCAAATTGGGTTTGGAACCAGTTTAATATTTTTGAATTCAACATCCATAAAATTTTTTTGTGTCAAAAATGCATATAGCAAGTATATCATAAATGGTTGATAAAAATTTTATATTGAAAAATAAAAATTAGAAAATAATATAAAAATAAAAAAATAAAACCGCTATTATAAATAAAACTACATGTATATGCTTTTGATAAGATACAAGCTAACGATGGTAAAATATTGATCTATTACATGTATTTGAGAACTTAAACCTCTCTCTCTCGATTTAGATCTATCTTCATTCTTCCTCTAGAATTTCCAGCAAGTTCTTCTTCTCCATTTTCACATTCATGAAAGATAAATTCCATAATAGATAGATTTAATATTATTTTCTTCAATTTCACTTTGTTTAGTTTTGTTTCTTGGTTTCAAGCATCTTAGTCATCTCCTCCTTTCTTCTTCTTCATATCATCACACGCTTCTTTACTATCAAAACAATTTTATTTGTTTCAAACAGAATCTTGCAAAGTGGCTATTTAAACCTAACCTCATATTTTTTCCACATCATTGAGATTTCATTAACGATCCAAGCCACGTCTCTTCTGTTATCCAAACCCATGCACGGATCCTTTCTTAAGATCATTAAAACATAAGAAAAATAAAATATGTGTTTCAAAGCACAAACTACAAATCCACACAATTTGATCAACTTACATAAGGATGTATACATGAGTGCCCAAAAATTATCGTTTTCACTTTTTACCATAAGAACCACAAAAAAGCCATTTATCTTGTTATAATTCATTCATCCCAAACGATACACATGGACACGTAATATAACAAAAAAGAGTTAGCGACTAAAAAAATACTAAATATTTCCAAAAAAGATCTAGGACTATACTATCAAGTAGTCGTCTTTATTGCTACCATCAAGTTATCTTATTCTCGTTTGTTTGAATACTGCCTCTAATTCTTTATTCTTCCTATATGTTTCGATTCATTATTCTTTGTAGAACAAGACTACACAATCACTAAATTAGGTATAAAAATTAAAATCACAGTTAACTTAAAACTCTCCATCCAATAGTGAGTATACATGTCTCTCAAACTAAAGGGACAAAGGTTGCAAAATTAAAAATTAAAAAAAAAGCCGATAGAACAGAGTTATCATACCAAGAAGAACTTTTGACCTAGTTTATAATAATTATTCTTTGTTTTTTTTTTTTGCCAAAATTATTTTTGTTTGTCGTCTCCAATCACTTATATGATCACACTAAAATTGATTTAAACCTAAACAAAAACAAAAAAGATGAATCAAGCAAATCTCCTCGGAAAGCAAAAAAGCCTAAATTTGGGAGCTGTATCTATGACAAAAAGAAAGTAAGGTCCCGTGATCGGATTCCACTCATTCTCCTAAACCAGGATGACAATAATAAAACAAAACAAAAAAATCAAAATCTTTATACGGATTTTTTTTAGTACTCCACTCATTCTCCGAACAATCCAAAATACTAATAATAAGTTTGATTAAAAAAACATGCAAATAATGAAAACAACGCAAGGTTATCCTCACCTCTTTCCGTAAACACCGCCGGAATATTTCGCTTCACATGCCCTTATTCTTTTCTAGTCGCTGACGTCAAACCAAAATTTAAGAAGGCATAAATCTCAGAATATATAAACACATACAATTATAATTTCTGAAATTAACCATATACACAAATACCAAAACAAAGAACTAACGATTCTTTGTAAATCTTCGTCTATGATGACTGATACAAAGAATATGAAGAACACCTTTGTAAATCTCAGCCATATATAAACTCAAAAAAAACTAAGGGTACAAATCAACATATATAAAAGCAAAGAATACAAAGGACACTTTTGTAAATCTTCTATCTATGATGACTGGCCTACTTCGATTTATAGATCTTGTTCTCCACAATTTAACCCAAGGAAAATCAAAATATTATATCTAAAAAATATCAGTATTAAAACCTTCATACAAAAAAACACCTGAAATTCAAACATAGAAAAAATACATTTTAAAAAGAAAACACATGAATACTCAAAAGTGACCGATTATGTGTGATTAGAGACTTAGATCTAATTGACTTAGATCTAATTTAACCGATTTATTAAATTGTGTGACGATGTGATATTGTCCAAGAAAAAACATCACATCGATTTAAAGTATCTATGACTTCTTTACCAAATCCAATCAAAACGATAATATAGATAAAGCAACCTATAATCTTTAGGAACGAATGAAGATTTGCAGCTTAAAATTCACATCTATAATGATGTCACATGAATATATCAATAGAAGCAACCTATCTATTCCTAGGTTGCAGCTTGTCATTATAGATGTGAGTTTCTTCTGCAAAGGCATCAATATGAAGAATCGAATGGATTTTTGATTGGATATAACCCGCTTCTGATTCAGTTGTGGTGAATAAAATAATTTTAACTTGTGACTAAATATAAAAACACGATATTGAATGTATCATATACCATAAGATTGAAGGAGAGAGCTTAGAGCTAAAAATTACTTTGTAATATATATGATATATCCAATTTCAACAGAAAAGCCACTCGTACAACCGCCCAATTTGATCGGCAAAAAGAGACGGATGTAACTGCCCACATACCCTAAGTCTACTTCTATGTATATTTCTAGCAGCAAAGTCTACTTCTACTTCTCATATGTATTATTATTATCAGAAGAGAGCAGATGCCGTCGTTCTAAGAAATGGACAAACTCGCGAATGCCCACATAAGCAAAGTCTACTTGTATGTTTAATTTCTACTTGTATTTATATTCCTGTGCCCCTACAGCTCCACTTACAAAGTCGACTATAAGAAAAGTCAAACTGATTCTTCTTCTTATCTCTTCAACAACTCCTTAATTAAACTCTAGCCATATCAGCATCTTTGTTCTCCCCAACTTTCCTTGTTCAATGACGCATCACATAAGCTTTTAATGGCCTCTATAAACTCTCGCTAGGTTCTAACGCCACGCAACAAGCTTTTATTGTTGAAGAGATTGGACAAATATTTCGATCAATTGTAAACTTAACTTTTAATGTGAAATTGTCAAAACAAAATCATATGACGTTGCTAGCGGACGAAGTAAATAACCTCAATTTATTATTAGAATTTAGATCACGATGATCAATACAAATACATCTCATGATGGTAGTCTTTACGTTTGAAATCTTAAGCATAAAAAGTGATATTGGATAAAACAATACGTACAGCTATGAATAGAATATAGCATTTTTTTCAATAAGATAAGTGTATAAGCAGTCATAGGAACACATGAATACATTGAAGGGACTACGAACCTTTACAATGATGGTGCATTTGCAGCGCATCTTACAGTGGCCGCAGAATGGTCGAAAACTACGATCGTTAACGACCACTATCATGCTATATCGCCTTTCTTCAAATATAGTTCCCGGCATGAGATTTAAGAAATCTCCGAGCACACACTTAATATGCAAAGTGACCCCACAATCAGCGCATGTGTAGAACCATTTCTTTGAATCTGTTTCTTCCTCACAAATGTCACACCAATATTTGCCGCTTGCTTTTTCGCCATAAGATAGGAAGAGAGGATGATCATCACATTTGTGCCTTACTGTTTTTGGTAAAACAGCACAACAGAAGCCCAACACGAAATTACAATCATCACAATATAACGCGATTCCTTCGATGACTTCGTCACATGCCTCACATTTTGAAGCTCCTTTGTTACCAAAGTATAAGGGATGCAAGTGCCCCTCATAGACATACGGTTCGGAAACCAAACTGCATCGAACATCTAGCTCCAAAAAGTTAGGAGACCGGTACGAGAACCCATGGAAGCCTCCTTTACAAGCGCCACAACTAAGAACCACGGGAGCTCCCATAACTTTAAGTTTGAATGGGTTGTTGTGAAACACGAGCCTTTTCTTGAGATGAAGATTGGCACATACTTCATGGAGAAAGAAATTGCATCGCTCACAGCTGTAGACTGGACCAGGGTAGATAGGGCGAATACAAGCTTGACATCGCTTTCTTTCATCATGACGTGTATTGTGCTCCTCGCCAAGTCTTAGATTGTGTTCATGACTGAAATGTCGTATCAAGTTATCACCCACCACTTTGAATGGCATAATATCTTCTGCTTCTTCAGGTATCCCTTCAAGCTCCACTCCATCCCATACATCATGTCTTGTAGCACACTGTGAATGTACAACATAACTAGAGCAAACTGAGCAAGAGTAAGCCCCACAAAACCGATTAACACTTTGACGACAAACTCCACAACTCCAAACTCCAGGACTAAGATAGTTAGTGCGTGAGATGCGATGATCATGACGGTTGATGTTTATGACATGAGGTAGACCGATACAATCTCTATGGACCATGAAGTTGCATTGAGTACAATAATAAGGACTCCTGTCACCTTGCATCCCGCATGCATTACAAGTAAATGAAATCTGCCTGGGAAGGAGGATGAGTTGATGCTCATGAGTCTTGAGTTCTAGAAGAGCAGGAGGAGGCGGATCTTTTGCGCAATCAAAGCATATGCTAAAGTTACATATGGAACAATGACGAAGAGCCTCTTCCAAATCCCGACCGCAAAGGATACACGTGTTGTCGGTGTAATCGGGTGCTCCAGTTGTGAGTAATGCAAGAGGGTGGTTAGGGTGAGAATGATGGTTTACCTCTGGTGAGAGGTGGACACAGTCCAAATGGAAGAACACCTTGCACAAAAAACAAGCATAAGGGTTTTTACCAACCACTGTCTTCCTACATACCTCACATTGGCCTGATTCTATTTTTTTGGTAAGGAGGACGAGTGTGTGCTTATGGGACTTAGCTTGAATAAAATAAGGCGGTTGTGATTTCCTAGAACATTCCAAATCGATGTAGAAAATACACTGTGAACAACTATACCCAACGTTGCTCAAATGGTATGTTCCAGTTCCACTTCCACATATCGGACATTTGCTTCTCCCGAAATATTTCTCCAAATGGAGAGGATGTTTCGGGTGGGAAGGGTGGTTAATCACTGGAGATGCCTCAGCGCATTCTTTGTGGTACAAAAAATCATGACATTCGGAGTCAGCGCAGCGGTAGCCATTGTAGATGTGGCCAGTTTTCTTACACCCTCCACATAAACCATGACTAAACCATGGTGCAGGTCGAAGCGGGTGGTGGTGATTTAATACCTCTATTGACATGCTAGATGTGCAGTGAAAAGAAGCTGAACGCTTAATGATTTAGTTTTTAAGAGTGTTTTTGTGATCTCCAAGATGTTTTGATGATTCTAAGAGGTATTATATGGTCTCAGTTATTTATAAGATTATTTATAAGACTGAATTGTACTTAAAGACTTTGTCTTGCTGGTAGGGATACCACTTTTATAATACCATTTTTGTATAATATTTTTGTTTATCTAAAACATTTTTAATACGTGTACATAAGGTTGTTTAAATTAATTAAAATTAGTTGACAAAAAAATTAAAAGATTTATAAACTTGTATAAATAGTGTTATAAAACTGTTTATTAAAGTTTATAAGAATTTATTAAGCGTGTTAAATGTTTATACATTTTTATAAGTTTTTGTAAGGTCATAGACTTTCATAGTGGAAACTTTATAAACTTCCGTCATAAGTTACATTTTAAAATTATATTCTTTACGAGCATTTAAAAAACATTCTCAAAATTAAATAGTTTATCTCAAATATAATAATTATTTAGTTTCTTTTGTTTTTGTTTTACAATTGGTGGAGACAAATACTTAAAAAAAAAAATAACGAACTTACAAAGACTAAATGATATAAACTAATTGATGACAAAAGAAATGATATAAATAATTTTGGGTTTTTTGTGGTTGAATAATTTATCTTGGACGTGGTTGATATGAGAATTGACTTTTTTCTAGTGTGATTGCAATTATTGTTGTTCGCTATCGATATTTTTGTTGCAAAATACCTTGTATTTATACATGCGCTGAATATTAATCTGATTTTCTGCTGATGCTGAAATTATATTAAACAAATTTAGATAATATATTAGATTTTTTTTTTCAATTTTTTTTTTGCAAATAAACTTTGTCTTCTTGATGGTTTATTCAATCGCGTTTTATTTTTCCATTTGCTTCTAGTTTTGTAGAAACGGCAGTTCATTTGTTTCTATTTAAGAAATGCCAAAAAAAGTCAGACTAAACTTGCCTAAAGAAAACTATTCTTATATTCTTCTGTTTACAAATCTCGTAGTTCTAAAAACCATAAATGTTTTTGAGATTCGCATCATAAACAATTAGAAAACTATTTTAATTGCTGTTCACATTAAGGAACGCTTGAATTTACAACGACGACTTCTATCCATGAACCACGTCTAAGATAAAGACAATATTATACAAGCATCTGAGCTGTCAGCTGCGGAAATAAAAAAGAAAGACTTTGGATAATGTATTGATTAATATTCTTTCTGTTTAAAATTATTTGATTATTTAATATTTAAAGTTTTTGCACATAGATTAAGAATTTATTTAATTTTTATTTTTTCTATTCTAAAAATATTATTTATAATTCATTTAAATATAATTTAGTCAATAAAAAATAATTTACAAAATATAAAAAATCAAAAAACAATAAAAATTCATTAAATTTTATATTGAAAAATGTGAACATCAAATAATTCTAAACAAAAAAAAATCTTATAAACTATCAAACAATTTGGAACAGAAGAAATATTATTCTTTTTTATGTATTTGTTACGACCAAGATATAGGATGTGATCCATCCGGCAAAACCAAACTAAAGCAAAATGGTTTGGTTTTGGTTGCACTATATAAACAGAATGAATTCGATTTTTTTATAACAATAGGAAGATATGATTTGGATATAAACTGATTAAGCCAAAAAAAATGGATCGAATTAACTTTAAATTCTAGTATAATATACATTACTGATGGATAGCAACCATGAGAGAGTCAAATAAATTTGCTTCCATAGTTTTGGTTTTTCATTGTTGGTATTATTGTGAAATTTTAAGTTTTGATTCAAAGTAATGATTTATTTGCTGTTAAAGACAAGTGTTTTACTGCTTTTTTTTTCTTCTTTGACTTTCATTCATTCCGAATCGTAGAGTTTCGTTGGTTTTATTAGGAACTAGATTCTAATCCCGTGCATCCACACGGGAATTTTTCATTTTTATTTCTAATATAATTTTTTAATAAAATTTTATTTTATTTATTTATTTCTTTTTAAATCAAGAATTTTGTTATCATATTTTAACTTTGAATAGTATAAATTTATATATTAGTAGAATAAGGATATGAGTTAATTAAGTATATATTGATCTAATGTTAATTATGAATTTTGGTATTATGTAAATTTAGATTTACACATAAACAATCTACATATCTATGAATTGGATAACCTACCTGTTTAATTATCTCAAATTAATTTTTAATATTTTATATATTTTGACAAACTAATCCAAATAAAACTGTAATTATAAATTCATAACTCTAACTTGCTCCATCATATTATTGTATTATATAAATATTTATCAATATTGAATATTTTATACTTTAAACCGATTGATTATGATTACCAATATTGAATATTTTATACTTTAAACCGATTGATTATGATTAAATACAATAAAATATTCATTTACCATTTGTGTTATTATAAAAAATTTATTTAAATTAAAAATTTTAAATTAAATCTAATATGTATTCAAATAATTCTCAAGTAACTAAAATTATTATCTAAACTTTCATAATAAAATTATTTATATTTTTTAATTTTAAATTAAATTGAATATAAATTTTTGTAATTAAAATTAATTAAAAAAAAATTTAAATTAAATATAACCTATATTTAAAGAAATCTAACAATATCTAAATTAATAATCAATTTTCGAAATTTAATATAATATAAAATATAAAATTTTAAAAAATTTTAGATGTGTTTAGAAACAAACACTCAAAGTGTTTCTGTTTTAATAGAATAGATGGGCTATCTTTTTCTTTTTTAAATTTTAGTCATTTTGAAGTTTTCTTAGTTATGATTTCTAATTTTCTATGTAGAATAATCGAAACCACGTAATTTAAAATTAAAGAACATAGTTCGTATTTTCGGAATATAACTGAATAAGTTAAAAAAACCGAGACTATCCAAACTAAACCAGTAAATAATAGTTTAAGTTTTTTGTTAACCAAAAAAAAGCTACAAAATCAAAATAAACTGAACCAAAATCCAACCGATATCCAACTTGAACACCAGATAAATATAGTACTAGTATTAAGTAGGCTAAGGTCAACTGATATAAATCTAATCTTAAGAGTACTATTATTTAAGTTCTACAGAGCTTAGAGAAATAAAAAGAAAGACTTTGGACAATGCATTTTTCTAGGTTATTTGATTGTTAATACTTACGCGTTTTCGTAAGCCAAAAACCACACTAACTTGACCAAATTAGATACCAATTTAATTAACATCAAATCTTGATTAGTTAAGGTTAACCACCATTAGTGTTTCCATTTATATAGCAAGGAATGTCAATAAAATTATTCATCTAAACTCGTTTTAGAAAATATTATACAATTTACTTAAACTAAAAAGACAAATATTTAGCTCCACAAAAGAGGATGTATAAGACTTTTTTTATGTGATACTCCCTCTGTTTCACAAAAATGTCATTCCCAAAACTATTAAAAATATTACTTTATCCTTTATTAATATATTAAATAATGTTTTTTTTAAGTTAATATATTAAATTAATAAGATTAAAACTAGAATATTGTTTTAAATTCCGCACTGAAAATATAAAATAACACTCTTTGTGAAACAAAAATAAAACCTTAAAATCACACTCTTTGTAAAACGGAGAGAATATATTTCTTCATCCCGTCAATTTAATAATAGTGAGATATTAGAAAATATAGAGGCAATTTTTTATTATATGAAGCAATCCCATTAGTTTCTGAATAATTCTTGGGTTCATTCTTAGGGGTGAACTCTTTTATTTATCCCTCATATTTTAACCAATAAAAATATAATAACTAATATTATATTAAAATATTTTTAATAGAAAAAACTAAATCCTAATTTGAAAATAATGACCCCACATATATTAAATTTTTAATTTATTTTAAATTAATTTTGGATAAACAAATATTTTTACATAATTATTTGTAATATTTTTAGAGTTTTAAATTTAGGATTTTGAAAAAAAAAGTTATGTTATTTTAGAATATTCATCCATTAAAAACTAAAATAAATAAATAAAACAAATTAAGAATATATAATTATTAAGGTTTTTGTTTTATATAAAATTTAAGGTTGGGTTTCATTTGTTAATAATGTTATATTTTTTAATTTGTTTTATTAGTTTAATTTAAAATTTCTATTTTATATTTCTATTTAAATATAGAATTAGATTTCATAGTTTTATTAATTAAAATAAAAGGGGATAAATAAAGTGGTCTACCTCTAGGATGAGCCTAAGAATTTTTTTTCTCCAGATTCGCATCATAAAGAATTAGACTCGTATCTGTTCGCACGTATAAGACTTTGTCGTCCACATGTTAGTCTTTGTATATAAAATTCAAGTAGTATTAATTAGGACGACGAATTGTATATCCACGTCTTTTATTTTATATTAGTATCGACAGGTAGAACATTTATATATAGAAAAACATTTATTTAGGTTTCTCTCAGATTTTGAGTATTAAAAAGAAATGACCTTGGACAATTCATTTACTTATTAGAGTAGTATTGTTCTATTTTTTCTTTCTATAACGACAATTATTAGGGTAAATTGCAAAAAACAAACGATGAATCTTATTAGTCTATGCTTTTATGAAATTATAGAAGGATGATTTCCCAAAATAATCTTATAAATATTGAAAATAGCTAAATTAACTCACTAATTTTTTTTAGATTCTATAGAATAATTTTACTATATTACCTTTCAACATATCATTTTTTATTTTCCACATATTACCCTTCAGCATATGATTTATTCATACGTACAAATAATATCTAGGAGGTTATAGGGAGTTGGATTTATAAAGATTTTGGTTGATTTTAAAAGTTATGAGATTTATCAAATTTTCAAGAGTTTTGTCGGATCTGTTAAACATACAGAGAGTTTTGTGGATTACCCTTCAACATAAACATTATATGACCTTCAACATATCGTTTATTCATACATACAACT